TATACACTAAATTGACCATTTGTTATCGGTTCTTTCAGCTATATAGCGAGTAATCAAGAAAAGATCTATTCCAAAATAATATTTAACGAGCGCCTACTTATTTTTTCCAACCATATTTATTGTAATGAATTATTAGTTGATGAAGTTCTTTAAAAAAATTAAGATGGGGGCTTACCATGATCTTTGGACGCTGTAATGCAAAATGGTTTAAATAACTATAGAATGATTTGATTCGATTACTGTGGTGCGATTACTGTTCTTGAGTGTAATCCGGAAAACACATTATTAACGCCTTTAAATAGAGCTTGATAAGACGTCATCATTATTTTTATTTTTGTTTGCCTCTGTTCCTCTCCAGACCTACAAATAGCCCTATTTCGACAGAAAAGTCTTGGTCAAGCAATTGATTGTTTTCGACGTGAAAGAAGGACGGAATCAAGAATTTTTGTTATGATATTAAAACGTCGTTTCCTGTTGAAATATGATGATTTTAGATAAAAAGTGGGCGATATCACTCTTCTGACTTAATACTATCAACTTTTACTTTAAAAAAATCAAGTCAATCTGTTGCTTTCTTGATGTTTGAAACACGGGGACTTACTCTATAAAAGCCTGGATCCTGTAAATGAAAAGTATTTGTAACTTTATTCTGTATAAACAACATTATTTTCTACACATACAAACAGTCTACTTCTTTTGTAAGGGAGTTCAGTTACAGTCACAGATCTAGAGATCCTCACACCAACTGTGATAAGGGTATGACAATATCATTTATTTATGAAGTACTTACACCTGTCGCGCAAGTAGTCCGAGATAACTTCTTGCAAGTAGAGAGGCACTTGATGGTGTGACAGTCACCCCTTGATTGCATTCCAGGGAATTGAATTAAATGCATTGACGATATCTAAATTTATCGCCAATGCAATTCCACCCTGGGAGACCACCTGCTCAGACAAGGAGCGAACGTGAATTATAGCGTCTATAGTTGAACGCTCCTTTCTAAAACCAAAATGATTTTCTGCGAGATCTGGACACACGTGCGACAGGTACCTGTCAAGACAAGTGGCAAGTATCCTCTCGAAAAGCTTACCAATCTCGTCCAAAAGGCATATGGGACGGTACGCAGAGGGAGATTCTGCAGCCCTGCCTTCTTTCTTCAAATCAATCAATCTCCTGGTGATGAATTCTAACCCGGAAATGCTAGGACTGGAGTTGAAATCTGATCGTTGAAACCAACAGTATCCATCTGATTGTTCGTTTACACACTTGTTAACGACCAATCAGAGCAGAGCACATGCCTCGAGTGGGGTTTAGGCGCCATCTTTACTTAAGGTTGCCTTAGGTTGTGGGAGAGCCTTAGGTTGTGGGAGACACATTTGAGTGATAGCGATTGATCGAGTTGTAGCGTTGAAAGTTTATTCGTTAGTTAAAGTAAGATTGGTGGCCTGGCTCCGCTGTAACTATTAGTTTTTCTTTCGATATTGTTGTGAAGTGACAAAACATTGTTTAATCTAAATTAAAATATAAAACTGTGATCATTGTGTTTTGTGCTCGCATTTTACCCTGACGACGCCCACTAAGAACGCAACCACTAACGGCGATGTCAACGAGAACAATGCTTCTACGATATAGTCCTTTTCCATAACTTGTTTGATCCAGCAAAATTAAAAGAGTACTTTGTTGATCCACCTTTCTGTCCAAATTTACTTGCTCTTAACCTTTATTTTAAAGGCTGGAAAGCATATATTTGAACAGCGTATTGTGTCGCTTACACATATTTCTAAATTCAGCAATATACTCTAACCGTTGTTTTATACTTTTCCAAAGTATTTGTGGCTCCGCGTAACGGTTTTTTTCTCAGGCACTTTTTAAACATTTCTTGATCCCTGTGAGCGCGCATACGCAGCTCGACGTCAGTGTTGGTAAAATTAATTCCACAGTGTTTGTAATAAGAACTGAATTTCCATGTACATTTTCTATTGAGTAAACTGTTACTATATGTCGAATTTAATAACCTAGATAAATATAATTGACACAGAAATGGTTATAACCTATTTCTTATCAATTATTTTACCATAGGATGCTAGTGAATAAATATTTTTAATATTGTAGATATTATCGCTTGACATTATCAAAATACCCACTTACTATAAAGTGTACAGTTTTGTTGTTATGCTTGTTAGCACATGCAGCCTGTATTAATTCGATTGAGGTAAAGGCCAAAATGCTGTATTCCTAAGTAGGCATCCAAATATTATGCCGAGTTGATTTAAGCAACTGGAGCAGCGGCGAACTATGAGCTCAAAGAATATCATACATTTAATACAAATATAACTGATTGCTGTTTGTACATAGAAGATATTTGAGAAAAACTTTATCAACGCTGTAGTATCTTGTATTAACTGATGTTTTTGCTTTCAGTCCCGAGACTATGAAAGCTTCATCTGACGCAGAACCGATGGGAACTGGAACGCGGGTGTACCTTGTGTACGCGTTGTGTTGGTCTCGCCGTGCTCGGAGGCGAGGGAGAACTAGTGTGTTTGTTGTTGCACTAACTGTGGGCGTAGTGTTGTCCGGCGGGACCCCAAAAACGCAGTAGTATATAACAGTACCCAAAACAATGATAGTTAAAATTATTGTCTGTTTATCTGTTTGTCTGTGTGCGCTAACTTGCCTAATACGGCCTTTCCGATTTCAGTGCAACTTTTACAAATGCATTGTAGTACGCTTCTCTCATTTAAATCGGATGATAAATAAAATAGTTATATCAACTTAAAGAACCACATTGTAGATTTGTGCGATGAAACTATAGTTAACTATGGTCTGTAAAATGATGGTTTATATAAAGTTAAAAAAAATCGCCCAAGTGCGAGTTGGAGTTGCGCACGAAGGGTTCCATAGGTATTTTTAAGCACGATATAAAGTGCGGGCGAAGCCGCGGGCGCAAGCTAGTTGTACAATATATTGCTACTATTGCACTAGGAAACGGATCAACAACGGTCGCAATGTAATGCGACAAATGATGTAGTGTGAAAATTTCTTTAAAGAGACGAGGATGACAATATTTTAGTTTTATTTTAACTGTTAAATTTGTTTACAAGTCATTGCTCAACTCATTATCAAATATGAGTTTGGTTACAAGAGAATAAATTACTATTGTTTATTATGTAATCAATAGTGTTATTTAAGCTAGTGCTATTCAGTGTGTTAAAGTTAGATTAGTTAAGAGATAAGTGCGATTTATCGAACAAATCTTTACATCAAAAGGGAAACTCAAAGAATTGAGCGAAAAGTAAGTGATTTTTATTAAATGTAATATTGCTTATAGTCTAGTCAACAAGTGCTTTTTTGACGAAAACCTGTTTAACTTCACGAAAATTATGGTTTTATATGGCACAAGAGAAATACATAATCTGTGAAAACTCTCTATCACCATTACCACATGAGATACAACGTGGAGCCTGGTGACAGACGGACAGACTGACAGACAGACAGCGGAGTCTTAGTAATAAGGTTTCCGTTTTACCCTTTGGGTACGGAACTTTAAAAGATTATTTTAACCAAATAAAATAGAATATTAAGGAATAAAAAATATGGTTCGTATAATACGACGAAAAAAAATACGATTATTTCTATGTAGTCTAACCCAGAATATTTTTGTCACTTCTTGAAAGAGTTTAGAAAAGATTGCCAAAAAAATTCTAATTTTTCATTGTTTTATTACCAATCAAAAGCATTGAAATATGAAAAACGTTAATAAATCAATCAAGATTTTTTAAATTTTTTGATTATTCTGTTCCTGTAAAAAAAATTACTTGAATTGTTAAAATAATTATTATAAAGAAATACATTGTTTATAAGATTTTCAATTTTTTTCTTTTAGGAATATGAAGCTTAATGACAATATGATATTTAAGAAAAAAATTTTCGCCGCTAAAAACGCTTTTTCTAAATTACAATTTTTTGTAGCTTAGTGTTAACATTATGGAACCATTTTATTAAAATCATAATTTATCACGTTGTTACATCATAAAAAAATTATAATTTAATTCATTTTTTATTTGGTTTTGTGAACAGACGCTTGTTTATAAACAAACGAATTACGAATAATTTTGTTTATTATTTTTCTGTTTTTTATATAATTTTTAAAATTATTGTACACTTGGACTTGTTGTTATCTATTAGGTATTCTCCATTGCTATTAAAATTACTTATAAACTATTGAAGATACGACTAGAACACTCCAAGTCTTAATTATTCTTCAACATTATTTTTAAATTTTGAAGTAGAAGTGCATTCATTTTATACGTGAATTAAATAATTAACTGTTGAGTATTGATACCAATATTTTTTTTATTAATTATTCTATGTAAATTCTTAAATAATCTATCACGCAACGAATTTAGTATGATGGTTGTATTGCACGTGAATCAGAAAAGTGCGCGAGCGCTAGATGTTGCTGGCCCTTTAAAGCATGTATTTCAACAAATATCACATTCACGAGATACAGTAATTCTTCTTAATAAGTAGGCACTGACGTAAAGTGATGATCTCAACCAATGAATGCTGCTGTGATCTGTGATTCGTCCGTTTGAATTGGATCAAATAAGTACGGAGTGGATTTGTATGAATGGAGCCACTAAATCACATACATATGGTATTGGATCAACAAATCGGGTATGGATCAACATTTGAGCGGATCAACAAAAAACTGATCATACGTAACGCTGGATCAAACAACTCCTAGAACGGAATATATATATATATATATATATATATATATAGAATAGAACGGAATATATATAAATATATATATATATATATATATATATATATATATATATATATATATATACGAGTATATACAGGTATATATATTTCAGGCATGTATCCTTGCGTAGTTTGTTGCAGATCTTTTAATAATTAATCAAGAATTATTATTACTTGAAGTTGTAGAAAAAAGTTCTTTAAAAAATAAAATGGGGGCTTACCAAGATCTATGGACGCTGTAAAGCAAAAGGGAATAAGTATCGGATTCAATATAGAATGAGGCGCGGCGCTATTACCGTACCGTTGAGTGTAATCTGGAAAGCACATCGCGTTTAAATAGAGATAAGACGTCATCATATAAATGGATACCTTACGAACCTATACACATAATCTTTGATGTAAAATTTGACGATTCATAAGAGCGCGCAAGCGTCTATTTGAATAAATATATTTTGATTTTGATTTTGATATAAGACGTCATCGTTTAAATAGATATAAGACGTCATCAGTATTTTTATTTTTTTTGCGTTATGTGATGTAGCCTCTGTATGTCCCTCTCGAGACTAAAAAATAGCCCCATTTCAAAAGCATGATTAATTGCTTTTTGACGTGAAAGATGGACAAACTCAGTAGTGATTTTGAAATTCTAATAACACATGGTTTCCATGGTTAAAAAGTAGCTGTACTTGCCTCTCTTTTATTCAAAAATTAAATAACCGTATGAAAAGTCTTGTTAAGACTGCTTTCTTTTATTTTTTTTTAAAGAAGACCTAAGCAAAAATTTTTGTTATGATATTAAAACGTCGTTTCCTGTTGAAATATGATGTTTTTTCAGGATAGTAGTGGAGTATGAAAAATGTCACTCTTCTGACCTAAAACTATCAACTTTAAAAAATCATGTCAATCCGTTGCTTTCTTAAAATTAAAAACATGGGGACTTACACGGGAATTTGGACCCTGTAAGTTAAAAATATTATGAATTATTTTAAAAATTGTTCCGCTTTACCTTATACGAATATAAAATGAATGCGACAGATCATATAGAACTTATGACACGGAAAGAGATAGCAGTCTATAGAGTTGCACCTATTGGCGTAATTTGCTTCAGTTTCGGTGCACTCCTTTCATATCTACCTCTTATTTGTAAATAAGATCTGTCATTGCCAAATTTGACATGACGTTTGTAGCTAATCGCCGTGCTCTGTCATGACTACGATGATGATGTTCACACGTTACAAATTCAAAATACGAACAACACTAAACAACATGTATTTGAATTCAATCAGGGGTACTCAAATCACAGATGAGACACGTTGTGACTATTAAATTGAACATGATATATTTTATTACAATTTGTTACAATGTACATATATTAGCACTGCCCGAAAAATATTTTCTGGCCCTTATTCAGCGACCCGCATTCTTTGGTACGATTAGAATTTTTCTCTTCTAGATTCTTGATCCGTGTTCTATGCTGATATTCATGTTATTAAGTGATTGTTATAAAGATAATAAACACATTTTCATTACACAGTAATGATTAACCTAATGAAAGAGTATTCCAAAAGCCCTTTGTTTTTACCTTTTTATATGAAAAGTTGCCAAGCGAGCAGGCGGTTCACCTGATGTTAAGTGAATACCGCCGTCCATGGACATCTGCTACACCCGAGGGTTGCTGATACGTTGACAATCTTTTGAAAATTGGGCTCCGGCTACCTCACACACCAGACGAAACGCGAAAGTTTATACTTCCACTTTACGCAGGTCTTTTATGAGGTCGTGGTACTTACCCGGATGAGCCTGCCCATTCGTGCAACAGTCGAGGCTGCTGTGTGGCCATACTATTTCAAAACTTAAATGACAGCCACTCGCAACTTTGACAATACACGATATCTGCGTGCTAATGTTTTATTTAAATCGTTACATTTTAAGGTAACCTTCAATTAACAAAATTTCAAATCAAAAAATCAAATCAATTGTAGCAAAATTAATATGTAGCAAAATTAAACAATTAACAAAATTAATAAATCTGTAGCAAAATTAAGCACTATTTGCACATTTTAGATCAGTTTATGTATTCGGAATTGCTGTGCTCTATAAATGTCACCTGGAAATTCCATTAAACAACTTTTATTATACCTAAGCATTTACTATTTTCTTGCTTATAAGAATGTTTCTTACAGTTGCATTTCGTCTGGTCGGTGAGCTAGCCAAGCCAATCTTAAAGTTAAGAAAAGTCAGTATGCAAAATTTAAATTTGCTTAAATTGGCTCACCTTAAGGTCCTTCTTGTTTTCTACTGCTTCGTTCAAGTTTTGCATTTGAGTCTGTAAGTTTACTTTGTACTCTTGGACCTGCAAGATATTGCTTTAATTAATTTCAATATAGAACGTTTGGTCAAGACATATCAAAGTAACGTTTTAGTGCTTAAAAATCTAAGAACATAAACCGAACGTCTCATATTTTCGCGTGCACTTCGCACTAAAAAATCCCCATTTGTCCCCAGTTGTGTCTCATTTTGAGAACACTCCCCTATCAGCCGAAGCTAGTATCGGAATACTTGGCGTCGAAATTTCGAGCAACGTTCGATTGAAAGGTAAGGCCAAATTGGCCTCAAAATAGCCTATGATACAAAAATAGACGTCTAAACCTCTATAAAGTACAAATTTGACCCCACAATTTCTAAACCAGAAATTTCATCCACACCATCTCGATGTACAGCGTTCCAAGACAGCTTGATTTTTAAGGCATTTCCTGCCTCGCCTCGCACTCTGTGGAACCAACTGCCGCCAGCGGTCTTCTGTTATTATTTTAATTCCTAATCATTATACTTTTAATTTAGATTTTTGTAATTCATTCTGGTTATTTTTTGTAATTTATATTTTTGTGTTTCATCCTTTTTTTTTTAATTTTATTCTGAAGTTAATTGTTTTAAAATATTTTTTCATTTATTATTCTTGTTCAATCTGGTATATACATGTAACAGTGCCGTGTCACCTAATCAGGTGCATGCATCAGAATTTTTATGTATAGATATACATTTTTAATTTACCTTGTTTATTTTTAACATTAACATTTATTGTAATTATAAATTGTTTATTTATAGTAAAATTACAAATACATAATCTAAAAAAGATTGTTTATATTATGTATTTTTGTATTATATTTTTGTAAGGATCACATCCTGGGCTAAACGCCGCGGCTGGTGACAAGAGGGTTGTTTCTTTTGTCGCTCAAAGGTTAAGAATAACTTTTAAGACAGGAAATGCAGCTAGCGTTCTTTTGTCTTTATTAGATAATATGTAATTTTGAAAGATTTAGGGTCTGTTTCACAATGTCTGAATAAAGTGTTGGATAACTAACTGACAAATAAATTAACTGCCACATAAGACTTCCTGTTAAAATAGTTTGCGTTTCACAAACGTCTTACCATTAAGTTTATGTGTCAGTTTGTTACTTGTAAGATAGAGATGGCAACGTCGCATTTTGGCGTTTCGATTTACGGGAAATCTGAGAACATAAAACATTTTTTTAATTTAATCACTCTTGAAAGCATTCATAATGCATTTTTTTTTTGCTTTATTTTGTGTTACGTATTTATATACCTGAAATACATACTCTTAAACAATCATAATGATACAAACACATTTTTTAGATTAATTGCAATATTGTTCAGCACCATACATGCTACAATTACATACAGACTGGACACGAGACGAATGTATATTATCTTTTTTGCTAATATAGGAAACCTATTTTTACAAACAGCATAAGTCCGCTCAAGAAGATTCCTACTTCTTATTCGTTATGGAGCTGGTGTAACAGGAGTTTGAAGTGTATTGAATAGAAAAAATGTATTTTCTTAACCTTTATCACCAACAAATACACTATTACCAAATTCTCTGTTCAAAAATCTTTGTTTTATAAACGAATTTTTAAATATTGTTTGGTCGTGTGTGGCTTCAGGCCATAGCCACTATATCCATTATTTTCAAATCTGAACCAACTATTGATTGAACATTGAAAGAGAATTGGCGTTTTCTGTTCCCATAGCTTTCTGCATTGTCACCACCTGTAGATTTTATAGGGACGTAGTTACAATGAACGGCACCAATAAGTCTTGAAAATCTAGCTATCTATATTACTGAAATATAAGGAGCCATAAAAGTCTCCTTATAATTCAGTAACATCTTCTGGGAACTTAACAAACTGTATGGAAATAGTTCAATATCGTGTGATTGCTTGTGACACCACATTCATAATTCGACAAGCTGATGCCTTACTCACTCCAGTAAAATCATCAAACACGCTCAGAAAACTTCCAGTTGCATAATATCGCAGTGTCAACAGAATTCAATTCATAGATGATATAGCATAATTCCTGAAACAATAATTATTCAAGAACCTATTAGAAACAACATGGATATTAAGTAGATAGACATTTCACGACATACGTTATTTATGAAAAAAAAAATGAAACACGAAGAAATTTTGTCTTCAATAAGTGAATGGAGATAATAAACAGTATCTTTATTAAATCGAAATCGAACTCTAAATTTCTCATTATCAAATGTCTCCATGTGATTAGAACGTCGTCGAAACACAGGATCTATGCGTGGCTCCGATAGACGATAAAAAATCATCTAATTCGTCGCCAAAGGCATTAGATAAATACATTTTTAATATTTTTCTATTTCACAACATACGAAATACGTATACTAATTCCTTCTTGGAAATGATCAGTTAAGTAACAAACCATCAAATAAATTCCTTATCTGACAGATGATCTAACCTATAATTTACTTCGAACTTTATTTGGCAGATACGCTTAACAGAAGATTGTGAAACGCCAACGATGACTTTATTGGTCAGATAAGTGGCAAGTAGCTTATTCGGGACTTTATTTGGACATTGTGAAACAGACCCTTAATGTTGTAAATATCGGATAAATAATATAAGAAACTTTTCTTAAATTAACTATATGTTCCGTACAGAGAATATTATTTAACATTTAAATATTTTTTTTTCTTCTTACGTTTAGAAATCTAAAATAGCACAATTTGGAAGTAAAAGATTTTAATAATATTTACTTAACCCTTCCTTTTTTTTATTACTGGCAAGCAATCTAAATTTGAATCCAACATCCGTTTTTGCAACGACACCCGCAATACTTTTGACCAATTGACCTTTGCCACTTACGCTCTAACTCCGAACAAGACTACGTGCGCGATCGGCTAACGTTTTGGCCAACCCCATTTCTTAACACTATAAAATTTAATAAAAAACACTTACTGTCTGCAACAAATTTCTACACAGAAAAAACATCCCATAGCAATCTCCCTGTGGATAAAACATTTACTCGTTAATCAATCATGGCAAACCTTTTTGCCATTTTTCAAAATGCGTGATAATGGGAAGTATTAAGTATAGGCGTTTGCTGTATCAAAAATCAAAATCAAAAATATATTTATTCACATAGACGCTAGCGCGTTCTTATGAAATGTCAAAAAATTTACATAAAAAATAATACGTTCGTAAGTTACCACCGGTTCGGAAAGCAGTTTCTGTTGACAAGAAACCGGCAAGCAACTCAACAGTTGCTCTTTTTTAAAACGATTAGTTTACAATATAATAGAACAAGTATGTCATTTTAGCCTACGTGAGTATCAACAGCATTAACCCCACACATTGGCGTCGTCAAGATATTCTGCAATGGTATAATACGCCTTAGCCATAAGTTCGCGTTTAATTTTGCGTTTAAATTCATGTAGTGGCAGACTTAATACCGATTGTGGGATTTTATTATACATGAGCACACTTTGCCCCATGAACAATCTATTTACTTTTTTTAGAAGAAACAATGGTGTAATTAGTTTGTCCTTATTTCTAGTATTTAATTTATGTCTGTCACTATTCTTTAGATAACAATTAATATTATGTCTAACGTACAAGATATTACAATAACTATATTGGGACGCAACAGTGATTATATTAATCTCTTTTAAAAGATCTCTGAGTGTATTCCGGCTCCGATGTTATAAATTGCTCGGACAGCTCTTTTTTGAAGAATAAATATATAATTTATATCAGATGCACTACCCCACAACAAAATGCCGTACGATAAGATGCTGTGAAAATAACTAAAGTAAACAAGTCTGGCAGTGTCGATGTCTGTTAGCTGTCTAACCTTCCTTATAGCAAAAACAGCGGAGCTTAGCCTACTCGCAAGAGATGATAGATGGGGACTCCACTGAAGATTTGAATCTACTGTAATCCCCAAGAAAACTGCAGACTCAACAGGATTGAGGGATACGTTATTTAATAATAAACTAAAACTTTGCCTTCTCACACTAGGAAGAGTAAAAAGAATACATTTAGTTTTTTTGGCATTTAATACCATATTATTTATGATGAACCAGTGAAGGATATGCGAAAGTGCACCATTTACGTCGTCATAATTGGATAAATTTCGGTCAACCTTAAATATGAGTGATGTATCGTCAGCAAACAGTACAACATCACAAAACTCACTGGCATAGGAGGGGAGATCATTTATATATACTAGAAATAAAAATGGGCCCAAGATTGATCCTTGTGGTACACCCATTTTCATGGGGGACCCTGAGAAATTAACATCATTTATAGATGATGATGAGATTGAGGGCGCTGTCACGAATGCCATAATAATCTAGCTTGCAAAGAAGGGTATTGTGATCTACGCAGTCGAAGGCTTTTGAAAGGTCACAAAAGATACATAACGCATCTTGTGACCTTTCCCAGGCGTTATAGATATGCTTAACAAGTGCGCACCCGCATCGGTTGTCGACCTGCCTTTAGTGAATCCATATTGCTCATCGTGAAAAATTTTGTTCATATTAAAATGTACTAATAGTTGATTTAAAATTAGTTTTTCAAATATTTTACTTAGAGATGGCAATATGGAAATAGGTCTATAGTTACCTGGATCATCTTTATCTTCACTTTTGAAGACGGGGATTATCTTACTAAATTTCATAAGATCTGGAAATATTCCAGAATCTATACGGTTATTAAAAATGTAAGCCAAATGTGGTGCAATATATGGCATTATTGTGGTCATTAATTTTATGGACATGCCCCATAAATCCTCTGTACTTTTAAGATTAATAGAATTCAAGGCTTTAATGATATCATTAGTATCTAGTATAGCTCGAGCACCGCTGAACTCGTTTTATTTATTCAGTACGTGCTACGTATCCAAAAGAAGCATCATTATACGAGGCTGCCACTCGAGGACATTTCTTCCCCAGCGGCTACCGGTTCTTCTAGGTATATGGTCGGCCCATTGCCACTTCATTTTACTTATCCTCTGACCTATGCCGGTTCCATTTGTTCTACTGCGGATGTTTTCATTGCGAACTCTATCACGTAGAGAAATACCGGACATAGCTCGCTCCAAAGCTCCTTAATATCTCTTAATAAGAAACTTACCTGCGTTTCCGGAAAAAGAGCAGATACCAGTAGAGTTATTATAAGACCGACTTTTAGTGACATGACGAAGGAAGAAGGAACAGGAAAAACCAATTCGTATTGAACAATATGAATGAAGTCGAAATATACAAGCAATAAATATAATAATAAGTAAGCCAGCTTCGCTTACGTAGGGTGAATTTAAATACGACGCACGGCTTGAAATCTAATTGGGTAAATTAAAAATGCAATGTTTAATCTTGAGACTGAAATTGCTAAAGGTAATTAATATTAGTCAAAAGTTAATTATTATACAACATAAAATTAGGAAAGAGTTAAAGGAAATAATTATTAATTAAGAGAACAGTTTATTGCATGGGCAGCACCCGCTAATTATGAATTACTAGCTGACCCGGCGAACTTCGTATCGCCTAACAGACAATGTATGTCGCGTTACCTTTTCGCTGAACTTAATTTAGGCTTTTATGAACGTAATACAAATAAATAGAAAGGAAACATTAAATTTATTACTATATAGGTATAATTCAGAAAGAGAATAAAAATTCAATGGAAATACAAAAAACACTTACTAAAACCGATGTTTGCTGACATGAGTGAATTAAAATGTATATTGTGCAACATGGGATGTCCTGGGGTTAATTCTCTTCATTCAAGAACCTTGTGGCTTTTTGTTTCGTTATCAAGCTCAAGAACAAATAAAGCGGATGGTATGCCGACACGTGAACATGCCACGTTCAATTTTTTTGTTTTTGTTTTTGTTCAAGTTTTCTTATCTCCAAATGCATAGTTTTTGTTGGTATAGGTTTTGTAAGTATGATAACTACCAACCTTCAGTTGTAAATTGGGCGGTGCTAAACCAAGCACCTCCAAGGAGCTTTAAAATTCTGTTGGATAATTAGGGGCTTCGTCTTCGTTTACGTTACACAGTGAATAGATTTGAAGAAATGCAGAGTACTGTGTAAGTATTTAATGGACTTCACCGAATTTCAATATTCTACGTTACAATGGGCCTTGAATGTTTTGGAAATAAGTAGCAAATACGGAATCATCCAATTGTTCTGGCCCACGAAATCGTTTTCTTCCACCGTTATCATCGGTTGATCGTCGCCGATTCAATGGATACCCATCGTTACCAGTGATGGTCTCCGTCGTCAATTTTCGGGGATACCGTTTGGAACACTTGCCGTCAACAATGCACGGTGATCGGTTGTTGGTTGATGGTTCCGCAGGTTTCATGACTCCTAATTATAATTTCAACATCATTAAGGTCTGGATCGGTTTCGGGATCCGGAACTTTCGAACATATATTTTTTTATAATATATTAAAATATTTTTTATGAAAAAAAACTTTAGATGAAATAAAAATGATAAATATGTAGATAATTTTTAATACACATCGAAATCGGTACGAATATTCTTTAATACAAATATACATAACTAATGTATTATTGTACACATTTTTATAACTTCATTTTCATGCAGACTGGTAGATAAATTACGTTTCACAGAACTTTTGTAAAAACCACCCAAAAACTGCGGGTTGTCCTCAATAGTCCAAACAAGTTTCAATTTTTTGTTTAACAGAGCACCACCGAGCTACGATGCATATGGAGCAATTGATGACGTTCATGTAATGATGGAGTGTGTTCGGAACCATAGCTTCCGAGTGTCGTGTTTTGGTCGGGGTTCTACGGGTGTTGAGCATCTAAATGTTATGGACGTGTCTAAGTTGTTAAATCCAGACAACTTGGTTTTATGTTAAGTAATTTGTTGTCGTTGGCAACACTGTATACCGGATATGACGTTAACTACTCGATCGAAGGGACAGATTGTCGCGTGGAGCAGCGGTGACTTGCTTTTCGGCTGCGATCCTGGACGGAGATATAACCACTAGAGCTGCTAGTCGTTATAATAGTTGTTAATATTGAAGTTCAGAAATAGTTTAGATGTTAGAATCAAAGTTATGACGTTTGAACTCTTATAAATTATTGAGTTTACAATCTGCAGCTGCATCGGAACTTCCAACCAGGTGGTACAGCAGTCAACCCTTCAGGCTTTAAGCCTAAGGTCTATTAAACCATATTAATTGTAGGTCTATTTATCTCTGCATCTTTATTTAGTTTAAGCGACGCTAGTGCTCGTTATTTCTGTTAATTACTGATGGAGTAGTGAAGTTCTCTCATAACTCGCTCTTAAATCAATAGGGCAGATTCCATTTGCATTCTTTCGTCTGGTGAGTGAGGTAACCGGGGCCTTTATTCAAAGGTGGCGATACATCTGCAACTATTCGGATATTGCAAATGTCGATGTGCGGCGGTTATCACTTAACATCAGGTGAACCGCCACCTCGTTTAGAAGGTTATCTAAAGATGGCAATACATCTGCAACCCTTCGGGTGTAGCAAATGTCGATGGGCGGCGGTTATCACTTAACATCAGGTGAACGGCCACCTCGTTGAGAAGGTTATTTACAGATGGCAAAACATCTGCAACCCTTCCGATGTAGCAAAACCCGATGGGCGGCGGATGTCACTTAACATCAGGTGAACCGCCAGCTCGTTTGCCACCTTCTCTAATAAAAAATCACACATATATAGTGAGGGTCAAGGACAAGATTCCATTTATGGCAAACACATCAAAATAGCCTGGGAGATTTCATTGATAGAAAGTGAATCAGTTTGATTTCTATATATATAATGATAAAGAAACCGTTATGGAAAGTAAATGCGGATACAGAATACACAAGTGAAAAATAAAAGAACTTAATAATTTTAGTAATCTTTATTGAAGAGTAACGACATGTATTCTTAGTAGTCTGGATTCTCAGCTTGTGGTCTGTAATTTTAATTTCATTAAATTATTTAAAATAGCAGTTTTTTTACGGCAATTTTCACATGTATTTCAATATATTTTGTGAAAAGACTGCATTAAAACCTATTATGTGGGATATTCATTTGTTTTCTCGTCTGGTTGGGTTTGTAGATAAAAAATTAACATGTAGATGTATAATGCATATACAAAATAAATATTAATTAAACCTAATATTATTATTATTTTCAGATTGGTAAGCTTACTTCTGACTTGACGATATTATATTAAAGATAAACATCCACAAATAGTTAAGTGTAAATAATTTCAAACATCTGTTAAAAGCTACCTTAATGGAAAGGGCCTATATATGTTGAGGAATACATTTAGAATGTTTGGAAGTGACTCTTGCTCTGCACTTGCAAGTCCCCGGCTCCTGTTAATTTTATACTCAAATACTTTCGGGTATAAATTTACATAATTAAAATGGAAAAAAAGATAAGACCGAAGATCTTCTTGCCGGTTCTTCTCTGGCAGGTCTAGTTTAGTGGACCGATGGTAGTTTTTGACATTCAATAAGAGCTTAAAATAAGTCTATATTGAATAAATTGATTTAGACTTTGAAAGAAATGACACCAAACAGCCATTTTATGAGCTAAAAGTTGTTTCAAGAATCATTCAAATACTCACTCCATGATTATCTGAAAAGTTTAATGTTTAGTATTACTTCTTTTTAATTATATGAATTATAACTATATTACGGATTTTTATTGAAAATACGACAGCGTAGTGTCCTAGCACTCGCTTTTACAAAGGTTGTAATTTAAGTTTAAAAATTAATATAGGTAAAAACAGACGTGAAGAAACCTGCAAATTTTGGGATTAATTTTTTTTTATGTGAGTAACTTTACAGTGAACTTTACTTTTTTTTATTTCAATTATTTACTTAACGTTAATTATTATGAAATAATTGAGAATAATTTTAAAATTTAATAATTATCTTTTTATTTATTCGGACCGCATTTATTTTAATTACTAGCTGCTGCCCGCGACTACGTCTGCGTAGTATAGGCCGAAGGTGTAACATTAAGACAGAAAGACAGATATACATAAAATATGTATATAAATTGTAGCCTATGTCTTATTCCGATGTATAAGCTATATTATTGTAAAGTTTCATTAAAATCCATTCAGTAGTATTTGCGTGAAAGAGTAACAAACATCCATCCATACATACAAACTTTCGTCTTTATAACATTAGTAAGGATGTGAACATACAATGTATCCTTAAAATAAAAAGATACTTACGTTGATTGGATGCTGTAAAATGAAAAAAAAAATTAACTACGATTAAAACTATTCCTTACACACACGCATTTTCTAAAACACAGTTTGATTACAGTAAAAAAATCTAGGTAAGAGATCTTCTTTTTGTGATTCTTATAAGTTAAGATGGGGTTTGCGTATCTTTGTTGGTAAAAACCCCATTAAAATAAAAGATAAGTAATAAGAAAAAAGTCTTCTTCGACCCAGGCCGGTGAAGAGATGATTATGTCAATGATGCCTTTCTTAGCCCTAAACAGTGGAGTTTTAAATTGCTCACCATTGGTGATTTTTTGCCCATTGGTCTGGCTGGGTTTTTAATTTTGGGTCCGCCTTTCAGCGTTTGCATTTCACTCTTCAGTGATTCTTCAAACTCTTCAATCTGGTGAAAATTTCAACAATAAATAAATTTGATTATTTTATGTGTTAGGGTGGCAAGCGAGGTCACCTGACGTTAAGTGGTAACCACCGCCCATGGACAGATGCAACACCCGTTGCAGACGTGATGTTGGCTTGCAGATGCGTTGCCACCTTTTAGTAAAGCGGGCCCCGGCTACCTCACTCACTCACTTTACGCCGGTCTTCTGTAAGGTCGTGGTACTTCCTCGGGCGGACCTGCCCATTCGTGCTACAGAGAACTGCTGCGTGGACCACCACAGTTGAGGGACGTACAGTAAGGTAAATATAAATATACCACATTTTAGAGCGAAGTATCATAGAACTCAATGAAATGGAAGATTTAAAAATCTCTATTAATTTTGCCCGAAGAATAAAATTAATCTCCGTCATTTTAATACTTGTACTTTTCGTCCTCCCTTAAAGATCGGCATCGCTAATGTAATCCCTTGGGTTTTACCGATTCGCATGGCAACAGTAACATGTGGTGCTCCACATTGCTCGTTTCTCACATAACAAGCCCCTCACATTCATTTCTATTTGAAATTCCGCAATTATGCGTTGTAGGTAACTTCGCATGTGCACTGACTCCGGCGGAAGGTTGCGTCTACGTGTTCCCGCGTCCTCGGCCGATGCGACCGAAGCAGATGCAAGGTGGATTTTTCAGCTGGTACCCGTTTCCAGGACTCCCATATGCCCCTGCCACTCCCCCGATCCAGTGGCAGGGGAAAAAGGAGTTTCCTCACGGAAAAATAAGTACACTGACACTTGCCTAGGAATTGCGGGCCAGACTAAAAACCGTTCTCGGGATCGGAAAAATTTTAGTTTTTGTTTCACGAATTTTTACCGAGTCCCGTCCATTTCACGGCCTTACTCTGCTACACAGACTTTCACTTTTTTTTTTTCAATGTGTACTTCGATTATTTTAATTTTTGTTGTTGTTGTTTCTTTCTTTCTTTCAAATCATTTTTCAACTGCGTTAGTAATTACTGTAGGACCTTAGTAGATACACTGTTACCGTAGTACATATTATTTAATTATAAAAATAATCCTTACCGCCTCTATTAACTTTTTAAAACAAAATACACAAAATTTCGCCTCCTGTGGAAAAAGAAACGTTTATCATTATGTAACATTACTTTGTTGATGTTTTCAAAACATTTTCCGCTGATGGACTAAGAGTGCAAATAAATAAAAATAAGCCCTTTGTTGTTTTAAAATGCACCCAACTATGGACTGTGAAAGAATGACAAAAGGCAATCAGTTCGCCCTTTTTAAATCCTTGTTTAGAGTAATTGCATTAAACAATAAATTAAATAAATAAATATGGAATCCTTCGGCCATTAAAAAACGTATAGATCACTTTGGGTAACTAAGTTTAAGTCTACTCTTTTGAGAGCATTACCTCAATAAGAGACGATTATGAGAAGGCAATCCTAGATAATCATGTTAAATGTGGGTAAATATACGATCTTAATATGTATGAATAATTTGGAAAACGTTGGTATCATCTACATATGCAAGCAGCCTCCAATTCAGAAAAGCACCCTAATACTTCATCCATAAATATGATTAAAATGTGTAAGAAACAGTGTGAGCCGGAATTATTTATAGAACACTAAAACAATGCTATTAATCAATAAGTACGTTTTTTTTATTAATTATAAATTGAGTACACAACATTTTCTAAAAGATTTGAGATAGTAGACTCTGCAAATAAAACAGTAGTTATATGCATTGGCATATTTGTGAATAGGAACCAATAAAGATGTTTTCAGATATGCTTTAGCACTTCTCTATATATTAAAAACTTATTATTTCAATGATCCCATTCTTCATTCAAATATATTAATGTAACAAACTTACCTGTGGTTTGGGAAGAAGACAAGAAATCAGTAGAAATAATACAAGACTAGATGTCGGTGACATAACGCTACGTAGACTCTTGCGGAAATTTGATAATAATTAAAAGACGTTTTAACGAAACTATTCTGTTATTCTTATCTAGAACATATAACACCTGAGTGTAAAGTAAAAACATACACTCGCGTATAGCGAATTTAAACAAGATGCACGGTTTGAAAACTAATTGAAAGTAATTGAAAACTAATTTAAAACTAATTAAAGAAAAAAAATAATTATTACGTTTGAAGATAAAATTTGAAACAACTTAAGAAACAAAATGAGTTCCTGTAAGCATGAAATCGAATTCAAATATCTTTAAGTAATTAATTTACTCTCCATAGATTGAACAAAAAGAAATAATCACGTAATTATCTGCAGCCCGGTCCTCTTATGGCATTTGGACGAAAAACTTCCGTCTGTCCCGTGAACGAGGTCTGGAGTTAAAAAACAAAATTCTACATTTCCTTGACTTTTTAATTTTATATCATCATCAAACATGCTTTATTCTAATCCTGGACTCTGAATACAAAGCATCCTGAACTGCAAATTAATTAACAAAGAAGTTGCCATTTTAACGTTGGCTGAAACCACGATCTCAATACAAATATTTTTGAGTATTAACTTTCATCTTTGATTAATTATACCCTTATTAAATACAATTGTATGAAATTTAAAAGCAAAACACTTTGATTAAATACACTGTAGTTTCATATAGGAAGAAAAAGTTATTTTAACGATGTATGGCTACGTTAGTCATAATAAGACACAAAATGGATGATAATGGTGCAATGTTATTAAACGCTACCATTCTACTATGCTGTTAAACAACAAACACCTAAACACTTGATGTTTAGTGATAACCGCCGCCCATGGACATTTGCAACACCTGTAGGGTTGCAGATGCGTTGCCACCGTGTAATAAAGTGGACCCCGGCTACCTCACTCGCCAGACGCAAAGCAGAAGCATTACACTTCCACTTAACGCCGGTCTTCTGTGAGGTCGTGGTACTTCCCCGGATAGACCTGCCCATCCGTGCAACAGCGTTCACTGCGGCCATACCACAGTACTTATTGCTTTTATAAATGAGAGATAAATATAAAGAACACAGATTTATTAATACTATATTATTATTTTATTGATATTTTGTTTGCCACAATTAATAATGTCGCATGAGAATATGCATATTAAAAATTCCTAACACAGTAAATTAAGAAGCAACTACGAGGCTTTCTCTCGCTGTAGGGAAAAATTAAAAGCGGAGACATGACTTTCTCACAAGTGGTTTCAGAAACGTGAACAAATTATTTAGCAGCCGACCCTTAAGATCTTTTTGAACTAATATTAGAGCGAATAAAGATAACTGTAATCAACAAGAAGTAGTTAAATCCGGCCAAGTGCGTGTCGGATTCGCGCACGAAGTGTTCCGTACCATTATTTATTTATTTATATTTATTTACTTATTCGTTATTGAAACACCTTTAAAAAGGCGACCTCAATGCCTATTGGCATTCTCTGCCGGTCATTGTCTATAAGAGCGTCAACAAAATCATGCCTGTTGCATGGGAGCCCCACTTAAATATTTTTTATTATGTTTTTTCGTATAGAGCCGTGATAGCTCAGTGTCCGGGCGCTCGTTTTCAATTTAATATACTTGAGTAACCTGAGTTCGATCCCCGGTGCCAGCACCAATGAAATTGTCAATTTGAAGTGCTGAATTATAATGTGCTCCGGTGAACGAAACTATCGTGAGGAAACCTGCATATTTTCGAAATAATAACAAAAAAAATATTTCGAAGATAAGTGAAGTCCGCCAATTAGCAGTGGGGCCGCGTGGTGGACTGTGCCCTAATACCCTCTGTGCAGACCAGCATGCATAGGCTGATATTTTACTCATTGATATCATTTAGCCGTTCTAGAACCCCGCGCTACTACAACTACTGCTTGTCACTTGATAAAAGACTGAGATAAAAGACTCGGGTTTTCGTTTTAAGTGCAGACTTGAGATTCCGTGACCAAATTGTCGAAATCAATAAAAAGCCGTTCCGACATCAGGGGTAAAACATAAATCATAAAACATAAATGATGTAAAAGCCTTATACGAAGCCTTGGTAAGGAGTCATTTGGACTGTAATGCTGTGATACGAGCTCTACATGAAGATATACAGCGTGTCGTTACCATCGCGACAATAAATGAACCCACATATAGGGGATAACTTTTTAAAGTTGTATGAAACATTTAAATTCTTTAAACATCAATATTTACAGAGTTATTAAATTTTCCAAAACAAAGAATTTTAGAACACCCTTACCTATAAAAGTGTAATGTAAAGTTCATTTGTAAAGGTCACAAAGCATATGAATGGGTTGAATGAATTTAAAAGAGACAAAACCTACTGTTAGAAGGAGAGGCTTGTAATACGACGCTGTGGCGCGAGTTGTATAGGATGTTACAAATTTTGTTTCTTTTTTACTTAATTAGTTTGTTTGAAAAATATTTTTTTTTAATTATGGATTTTGTTTAACGTTAATATTTTTTTATGATTTTTGGCAAGTAGCGTTAGACGTGTGTTCATTTATTGTCGCGATGGTAACGACACGCTGTATAAGATTCTACTCGAACGTATTCATAACAAATTTGGTAGATTTTTGTATTTTAAATTATACGGACTTTTTATTCTAGGTATGGTAGGATATAGTAAATTTGAATTGAGGAGAAAAGTAATCATAGAGAGAAGTAAATAAGAATAAAAGAATAGAGAAGATGGAGTTATGCGTACCCGAAGGATTTTTGTCGACGTGGCGGCGGCCGATGCTTTTATCTGTACCTAGGTCACGGACTAATTCATTACGTTTTGTACCACTGACTCGCGAGCTTTGTACACTAAATACAGTAGCTAATCTATTAGGTTTCTTCAATTGCTCAGTGAACGAGTTCACACTGGCTACATCCCATGTTCTCAGTGTTTAGTTTTACTTATAGTTATAGTTTTATATTTAATTGTATTTGAACTTGAATATAGCTTTAAGTTTTGCCTGTAATGATAGTTGTTACTTTGTGTATAAAATAAAAATTACTTTACTAGAAAAAAAACCTCCTAAACCTTAATGACAATGAAACTATGATCATTCGTCTCAGTTGCTCAAACGATGGCGCTAAAGAATATTATGCTTGTACATACTCCATAAATAAAAAGATATTCATAAATATGTTGTGCCATCTCGTTATAACGGTCACCCACAGTTACCTACTGTGGGTAACCGTTCATTTCGTGGACTTCGAGGGATCCCTAACAACGAACATGTCTAGAATAGAATATGTATTATAGAATACCATAGCATTTACTTGCAAGATTTAGACATATTGATTTAATATTGTATTAGAACTTATAATTAGGATAGTACTTTTCTCAGCTTGAAATTTATACAAAAGATTAAATAATTCATTTTCATTCAATAAGATTATCATATTTAATAATTGAAATGGAAATTTAATTAACAAATTTTTTTACAGTGGCAGGTATTCGTGCAACAGCCTAGGCTGTTGGCAGGCTCGTCCGGGTAAGTACCACGACCTCACAGAAGACCGGCATAAAGTGGAAGTATAATGCTTTCGTGTGTTTCGTATGTTTCGAGTGGCTGGTGCCCAATTATCAAAAGGTAACCCTTGGATGTAGCAGATGTCCATGGTCGGCGGTATTCACTTAACATCAGGTGAACCGTCTGCTCCTTTGGCAACTTTTCACATAAAAAATAAATAAATAAAAATACAATACAGAAATAGAATTCGACAAACTTGATAATCAAATGGAACCTTCAGTTGTAAAACATATTGTCATTGCATATACTAAAAGAAAAGTAATAACATAGTCAGATCTTTATTATAAATACGAAATTTTCATATTATTATTATACATTTATTAAAAATCATACAAAACCAAATACAAAATAATTGAGTGAAATATTCTGAAATGCTAAAAAAACTATTGCTACTAGCCACTAGCCATTGAATTAATTCAATCTTAGATTTCTGGTCTGTTTCCTATTATATACGCGAATTGTTACATAATATCCTTTCCCGAGTAATATTTTTTTAAACTAGTATGTGTTAGTACCCCATCAGATTGCTTTGGTTTTTACAGTTTTCTTAAAGTGCGTGTAGACAAAAGTAAAGTAAAGTATCAGCCTATACAAGTCCCAGTACTGGGCAAAGGCCTCCTCTGTACAGAGGGTATCAGGGCATAGTCCACCACGCGGCCCCACTGCGGATTGGCGGACTTCACATATCTTCGAAATGTTTTTTTTTTTTTTTTTGTTATTATTTCGAAAATATGCAGGTTTCCTCACGATATTTTCCTTCACCGCAGAGCACATGATAATTCGGCACTTAAAATTAACAATTTCATTGGTGCCGGCACCGGGGATCGAACTCAGGTTGCTCGAGTATATTGAATTAAAGGCGAGCGCTCGGACACTGAGCTATCGCGGCATGTAGACAAATCTATCTATTTTATTACACGTTTTGTACATAATCTTGATCAATGATGATTCATAAAAATTCTGCAAATTGGGCCTGATTGGTTCAAATCCAAATAATTTTTATTTGGTTTTATTTGTGTGTCCAGAATTGGGACTTGGTAAAGATTAATACAGAGTTGCATTACCATGGGTACCCCTTCCGTACGATATAGACCACGATAAACATGGAATCCAGAACCTGTGTCTTATTGTTAGACATATCATCCAAGTGTTGGTTTTTTTGCATGTTAGTGTATTTCGACATGATATGTCGAGTATCATTCGGTTCAAGGGAGTACGGTTGACACTTGGTGTTACGAACACATTTAAAACTGGAACCAAAGCATATCGGTGTAGTGTGAGGGATGTACGACGTACACGATAGTCACATTGGTGCTTGCAGCTATTTGAAATAATGCGTCTTGTGGCGGTTGCGTGTATGATCTGTACCTAACATCAGTGCATCGTATGGTTCTGGTTGATGGAGGGTCGAGGTGTAGATGTCTGCTGTAGATGTGGGCACGCCCTGTGATTGCGGGTGACTGGTTATGATCGTATGGATGCATGTTGCGTTTAGCGGCATTGCGTCTTGTTGCGGTTACTGGGAAAACAACGGTATTCATAATGGTTGAGTCCTGCATAAACCGAGTTTAATTCAAACATAAATTAATCTTAAGTACATTTCCAACCGTTTGAATGTATGAAGCAACTTTCTGGTCTGTGAGACAAACACGATGGATATATATTTTACTAAACGTCAGTTATAATGACGCTATCTGTTGGCTAATAAAAAAAAAAATATAAATATAAAATATTTTTATTGCAATTGTGGCTAAATCCTATTGCAATGGAGCACATGCAGGTGATAGCTGGCAGGAGACCCAGGAGGAGGCGTAGGAACCATACTATACTTGGGATAAGCAATATTAAAGTATGATAAAAATTTAAACTTAAAAATCGCTATCCTTATGCTTAACTAAGGCTATTATTAAGGTTTTTATAATAATTACGTAACACATTATCAACAATTTATTTCGACATATTTTGATATACCTATAGTTTAAACTGTTCACCCGAAATGCAGGAAATACTGTCGAGGTCCAGGGGCTTGAGTTGTTGGCTTGGTCGTACCGCTCAACCTTTGTTGTCGACGGTTAATAGCTTCGATAAATCTTTCATACTGTTTAAAAATGAAAAATGAGTCAATTATTTGAAACATTTGGGTGATAACTGTCTCAACAGCAATCTAGTTGTAAGCTCCTAAGTTTTTGGTATTTTCTATGTTTATTGATTGTTTTCTTTATTATGATATTTATTTGTTTTCTCGTCTAGTTATACATACGTATGTAATGTTATTAAATACATATAGTACATTTGTATGTAATAATACATATATTATACATATACCAATGTAATAACATTTCTAACATTTTACTGTGAAAATATTAATGATGTAAAAATTATAAAATCTCGAAGGTTTATAACGTCGAAACCGTACCATTTCTACTACATTCGAATATTTTTTTAATCGATTTAAATGCGATCAATTGCAGTTAATCCTGTTAATGCAATTTCACTAGTATTCGTAAGTACCTTTATGTAAGCATTATCGGTAAAAGACTTAATCAACTCAGTGATATTTGAACATGAATGGTAGTTTTATAAAATTTTTAATTAACACTTACTTCCAGTCGTAATTTTTTAAAACATTCGTCTATATCGTTTCCACATCGCCTAGGTGCCGCCTATAGGGACAAACAGAGATTAAAATTAGATTGCAGTAATTACAGCAATTTTTGGTGTCTATTTTTAAACCGTTACACGTTTACCTGAACACCGTTTCTTCAAGTGAGCAACATATTTTACTCTTGCAGTTTATATTCTTGAGTCGCCCGCCCCCCTGATATTGTCTTTCACCATAGTATGAGGCGGTATCGCCACGGTATATGTGTAGCAAATTTCCATGGGCTGCGGTTATTAACATCACGTGAACCGCCCGCTCGCTTGCCATCTTCTTACATAAAATTTTATTTTTACTTTGATTTATCAAAACACAAAGAAAATACAATAAGTGACCATGAAATGCCGAATAATTTAATCGTCCTACTGTTGGATTGTTTCGAAAAGTATTCTTATGTTCCTAATCCAGATAGTAAACCATGTTATATTTTTTTCCGGATTGTCAAATTTTGACAAAAAAAAACTGTTTGCTCGGACAAAGACGAGTCCTTGTTAACAAGCAATATAATATAACATAAACTAAGAAGAAAATAACACCAACTCACCTGAGATTCGTGAAAGAAACCAGAAATTACCAAAATTAAAAGAAGACCCAGTGTCGGTGACATTACTTTTAGTGCACTGTTCATGAAATGATTTAAACAAAACTGTACTTTATGAAAGAAATTAATAGTGACTATAGTAGTTAATGAACACTACAGATTGATTTACTTAGGGAGTATTTAAAAACAAATTGCACAGCCTAATATCTAATTGAGGCAATTATGTTTTCCATGTTTAATGGTGAGAATGGAGTTGCTTAGTCAAATACTAATTTCAAATTAATTAGAATCCAGCAACATAAAAATAAGAATTGAATTAAGCGCATGCAACTCAGACTTCTACATTCACTTCAATTAAGGTTTATAAGCGTAACTGTTAATAAATTAAAAAGCATAATTTTTGAGACTTTTAATAAAAAATAAAAATAAAAATTGAGGTATTAAACAAAAGTACCTACCGAATGCCGAAGACGTGGTTTCGATTCCCACAACGGCGACAATCTTTAAGTGCAGAGATTAGCACTATAAAAAAATTAAATTTTTAAGAAGCAATCTCGACATCTCTCGATCGAATTATCATTGTAAAATGATATTCCAATTTGTTTGTATGCTGAAAAGGATATAACAATTGAAAGCATTGCTCAAATGCTAAAAAACAATGTAGAAAAAAGACGTTAAAATTTTCGTCGGTGTGGCAATCAGCCGTTTAGCTTAGTGGCTAAAGCGTCAGGCCGCGAATGCCGAAGACGTGGGTTCGATTCCTTTCGTAATTTTTCTACAAATTTTAAAAGTACCTGTTATGATTTTTTTTCTAAAAAAGGAACTTGAAAAAAAGGGAAAAAAGCTTTTTTTGAAAGAACCGACTTCATAAAACTTTTAGCACTAAAAAGTTTATAATAATATTAATATTATAATATTAAAGCAAATCTTGAAAAACTAACCTATGTAACCTAACCTAACTAACCTATAGAAAAAAAAATTTAACAATTTTTGGAGTCGGTGCCAAGCCGAGTATCTCTGATCTGAGCATAAAATCATTCTCTTAACTTTGTTAAACTATTTAGGTGGATTAGATACCTCCTTAATTAAATACAAATAACTATCTAATAACTTATTTATTAGATAACTTCAGTATTAATTGCTGCTGAGCTTCTTTCTATTTTTTTAGAATTCTTTGAACTTAACCATCCTTTGGGCAATGAAGTGTAATTACTACTATCATACGAAATATACACATATGTTTTTTTTTTTTTTTTTTTCAATTTAAGTACTAAAACATGATCAAGATTAGACAAAGAAAATACTTAAACCTAGCTGCTGCCCGCGACTACGTCTGCGTAGAATAGGCTGATGGCGTAACATTTAGACAGAAAGACACAAAATATGTCTATAAATTATAGCCTATGTCTTATTCTGATGTATAAGCTACATTATTGTAAAGTTTCATTAAAATCTATTCAATAGTTTTTGTGTGAAAGAGTAACAAACATCCATCCATACATACAAACTTTCTCCTTTATAATATTAGTAAGGAATTAGTAAGGATATAAATACAGCCAATATATTGTTATTACAAAGAGATTTGAATCAAGAAAAGCACCTTAATTTTAAAAGTGATTGATAAAGTCTTTTAGCAATGGCTGAATAAGTTAATAGTCGACCCACACATTCAGGGTTTCTTAGATATATCAAAAAAGTAGAATAAATTTAATATTTTCATACAAAAAATTAAAATTTCTGATAAAAAATGATGTACAAGAGACGTGAAAGTTTTTAGAACTGGCCAGTTAGAAACATTGCCAAGGAAAGCTTCTTTTAAATTTTGAATACAATGCTTTATTTTGAATATGATATATTCATACATTTGTCATTTGTTTTTGTGAATTGGCGGCGATTCAAAATGTCTTGTTACACTTCAAAATGAATTTGACATCAGAAAATTTTCAGTTCTTGATTTATTACGACTTTATTTGTCGTCTTACTCAACAAAATAGCTATGATAGACTTCGATTGTCATTTAATAATGAGGTCCCGTCCACAGGCGTATATAGCAGGGGGGCCGGTTGTGCCATGCCCATCCCAGGATTTTGGTTTACTGATTTGAAATTTTAGGCTAGATACCTAAGAAGCTTCATAAAAATCACTGAAATCAAATAATTATTTACAGCCGAGAAATCTAAGTACATACTTAGTTTTTATTACATACTATTTTACAATACATTCCGTTTATTTACTTGTGAATACACAACGTACTAACTACTAATTAGTTAATACTTCTATTATAAATTAATAAGAAATATTAACGATAACGAAATTATTACTTTTTTAATTCGACGCATAGTGTTCGATTTTTTTGTAGTAAAGGCCCAGACCCACCGTGAAAAATAATTCTAGATACGCCAATGGCCCCATCCCATGCCACTCAAAATTTGTTTAATGAGCTTGCGTGGGCGTAGTAATCAGTGAGTGACGTCCTTCTACAGCGGCATCTGAAGATGGCATCAATGCTGTTCGACGCATGATGGTGTTAGATAAGTGAGTGACCTACCAGTAGAGCAGAGCAAGTTCAGGCATTAGTATGAGTCAAGTACAGTCAATGTGACCCACGTATGATGAAGGTATGTGTTAATAATTTGTTTAAATATCCTTCAAAATGAAATGCCTTTCTTTGATAAGTACTTATTAACACATAATTATATAACGATTGGGTAGTGAGTGGGTTCGATCCCCACTACTGGAAAACATTGTGTGTTGATCATAGTGTCTGGATATGTACCAGTGTCCGGGTGTTTATACGTTAATAATATGTATATATTTACAAAGAAAAGTATCTTTAAGTATGTTTATCAGTTATCTAGCACCCACAGCATACGTTGATTAGTTTGGGACTAGAAAACGTTGTGTAAAAATGTGTCCTAAGATATGTATTATTTAGTATTAATAAAATTTTAAATTAAATTTATGCACGTATCAACTTAGTGATTGAAATTTGTGCTACTTATATTGATTTAACTTATCTTTGCAGATCGGCGTAAAGTGGACTCTAAGCGCGACGAGTCGAAGGCCAGACCACCTGCGGCTATTTATTATAATTATATCGGAGGGGTGCTGACTTGTGGTGAGTGTGGCCGCACATTCGCTGCAAAAATCGGCTAAGTCAGTCACCCGAGAGAGCATCAGTGACGCTCTCAATATTAGTAAACAGTCGCTGTAGCCGAACACGGCTAGGACATGACAATCTTTGCAGATCGGCATAAAGTAGAAGTGTTGCACTTCTGCGCTACGTCTGGTTAGTGAGGTACCCACATTATTAAGACCTGGCAACCCATCTGCAACACTACAGGTGTTGCAAATGTCCATGGGCAGGCGGTTATCACTTAATATCAGGTGAACCATCGGCTCGTTTGCCACTTGCTCACATAAAAAAAACATAGGCGTCCGCCACAGACTTCAACGATGCACAATCCTGATTCTCCGGATCCATCGACATTCCAGCAACATTTGCACAGGCCAACAAATCAATGTTGGCCCGCTTCTATATTCTATCTACAGATAGATTTCGTTACTACCGATGGTTATTAGATATTGGTTCAATAATACTTCCGTCAAAATTCTATCTAAAGTAAAGTAACGGCCTATACATGTTGGGCAAAGGCCTCCTCTATAGAGAGGGTTTCAGGGCATAGTCCACCACGCGGCTCCACTGCGTATTGGCGGACTTCACATATCTTCGAAATATATTTTTTTTGTTATTATTTCGAAAAAATGCAGGTTTCCTCACGATGGTTTCCTTCACCGCGGAGCACGTGATAAGTCAGCACTTAAAGTTAAAAACTTCATTGGTCCCGGCACCGGGGATCGAACTCAGGTTGCTCGAGTATAGTGAACTAAAGGCGAGCGCCCAGACACTGAGCTATCACGGCTCTTATGAAAATTCTATGTCCAGAAACAAAATCTATCTGTAGATAGATGACTGAGGATAGATGTCGATTTTTTTCTGTAGATATTGTCTGATATTTGTAAATCGAATACTGAAATCGGCCGTATGTTATCTAAATTTTGAATATCGTATTGTGAAGTAATTTCTCCTGAAATAAATTTCAATGAAGAAATGACGGAGTCGGTAATAAAATCTTTAAGTCTCTGAGCGGAGAATTATTAAAAGTCGAGTTTGTCATTGAAAATCTTTATTGAAGTATTCTGATTTACTACTTTCCAAAGAATTTTGCTCTGAAAAACAATATTTTGCTTAATTTTTATTAAGAAACAGACATTGTTTGCAATTATGTTAGGTTATTAGCTGAATTTAATTAATACTAGATACTGACTAGAAATAAATTATTCATATGTCCACAAGTGTTATCAGACACGAGATCGCTTGACGAATACTATGCCGGTCAAATTTAATTCAAAAACCCTTCTACACCCTTTTAGATCAGAAGAGAAGTCAATAGAAATACGTTTTTTAATATGTGACTAAAACGCTGTTTATATTTATTTATATGTTATTCAGTAGATAATTAATGCATAATTTTAAAGTTTTTAAATTATGTAAGTATTTGCATAGTTGACATTTAATTAGTATTTATGATCTTTTTTGCAGATTGCACCTACCACTATCTCTCTCCACGCCCCGCGTTGATTCGGCCCTTTTGTAATATTTTTTTTTAATTTTGCAATAAAGCATAAATAAATCAATAATAAACGCCGTAATGTTCTCTTATGACGGCAGTTGCTGCCGAACAGTCGATTTTTTCATTCCTTAATTGATCGCTGGTCCAAATTTTCGTATTCTTTTAACTGTCCTTATCTTAACTACTTGAGGTTGACGTAGTACCTTCTATCCTTTCATTCATTTATTCCTTCTCTCTCTTACTAACCTTATCATCTTTTAAACGGTTTATGTTACCACTTCATTATTTTAGATTACATATGTTAATAAATTTAATACTTACTGCATTTGGTAAAATACCTAAAATTATTGGTTGCAAATAAATATACAATTAAAAATTTATGATTTTCACATTAATTTCTAATTCGTCGTTTAAGCGTTAACACCTGTTACTAAATTATTGATAACTTTGTTATATTAAAGGTTTCAATATCTGATACCTTATAATCAGTCTTTCTAAACTTAAATATAAATAGAAAACCTGATTTAAACGAAACTATACATATATGATAAATAAGCATCGTTTATGGCGACATTGTGGTATACTTACATCATTGTTATTATACTGTAAATAAATTTTTTTACGTTTATTTTACGGGAAAAATGGTGAAACAAGTTAAATGCATCATTTTTGTAAATTTCAACCGTCTAACTGTCACGGTTCTTGAGACAGACGGATCAGACACGGTCCCGTTATACCCATTGGTTACGGAACCCTAAAAATAACCTAACCCAAGTTATATTAAAGCCTGCTCGGCCAATGGAAAATACTCGTATAGCGTACTTACTTTATTTTCATTGAACTGTAAAATGAAATAACGTTAATAGTTTTACATCTTGCAGACTTATCAAGTCAGTGGAGGAGAAGGAAAGCTAACAGAAATAGAAGACATAAGCTAGATATAATGTTCGTTGCTAAATGTTGGGGAAACATAGAAAATAAATTGCCTATTTATTTTTCAAAAATGTAACTTCAAAAAGCAAAACCCTACACTAAGTCATACACTGCAACACATCCGTACAGTAATACAAAAATATTTGAATGTCCGGATACATCATTAGCACAAAAATAAGGAAAATATTAAAAAGGCAATAATGAAATAAGTTCAATTTGTTCGACGGTTAACAATTTTCTTATTGCAATCGATGACACAAAACATTTTTTGAAGTAAAACTTCTTTATGCGCGACTAGGGAGTAACTCAGATTTTTCTGACGGAAGTAACGTCCTAAGTATATGTCAAATTTTTAAAATTTGACATATACTTATGACGTTACTAAATATTTAATCATTTCAGTGATATATGCCGTCAACGCCAAAGAAGTTTTTTCTTTTTTTTAATAATAAAAATGAAGATTGTTGGTTTGATTGATTTGTACAAACACGTTATTTTTAAGTCACAAAATAGTGTCATAATATCATTTGTGTGACCCTTATATCCGCTTCGATTCTGTGTATGGCTGGCCTACTTTAAACGCAACTATAATCTACTAATAGTCTACTATGTCTTTCTATTTCGTTCTGTATCGTCTGTCAAATTCATAGTCATCATAATGTAAAGCGGAACAATTTTTAAACATCGCGCAATATGGACATGCCACATCTTTATTAAAATATCACCGAGCTAATACGATTAAAAGCGATTCATTACTAAGTACAGTAGGCGTGATTATTTTTTTTTTTTGGTTATTTTTATTTAGTTACGCTAAAGAAGTATAACTTCTTACGTGCGTAGTACATAAGTACACACACAAAAACACACATCCTTTTTTCCATCACGAATTGATGACCCTATCGAGAATACCATATTAATAGATATGACGGCGCAAATTTAAGTTATGTTTAAACACTTCAGCGAATGCCAGTTACCATTTTTTAAATAAGTCACTATTAAACAAATAACTCAATTGTTAATAATATTTTAGTTATATTAGCCATTATTTTAGTTATTTGTTACTTACCGATTTTCCAATATATATGTCTGTCTTTTGTAAACCTTTGGAGCGATGCATCATATTTTTGGGGTCATCCTAAAGAATATATTAATAAAATCAATTTAAATTTTTCATCATTTATAATATTTCGTATGAATAAGACTAATGAAAACTCCGTGAAACCAATGAAAAAGTTTTATCGCATAGGGAATTTGCTTTGAATCTAAAATTATTCCCTGACATAGAAAATCCTTCCATCATCTACTGATTAAAGGGATCCATGGGATGACTATGGCAGAGTCATCTGCGTGCTACCCTCTCCCTTTAGATCCTAATGTAAAATTTAAATTGCTTTTAACTTGAATGGGACTTTATTGGTTATGAGTCAATATTGATTTTGTCTCACTACGAACATAATCTTTAAATTTGTGTATATCTCACAGGACAGCTAATGCTGTACAAATATCACAGAGTTTTTAATTACATTCAAAGGCGGTGAGCTCACCGCCCTACATAAATAATTATAGGCATGGCGGAAACACATAGGAAATCCGGAAGACCCAAAATCTATCTGTGCACACCGCTGGAATTCGAACACATATCCTGAACAAGGAACAAGGTATGGGTGAATCTTGACATCAAAAATAATAATTATAACAAAAATAAATTATTTCCGGGGACTCCGGGACGGATCGCTCCAAGCTCAAATGCAGAAGGCGGTGCTCCTCGATACCGCCCGCATCGTCCGCCGGTTTCTCTCCCTATCGCCCTAACCCTCGGCGGTTTGGTCTCCCCTGCCGAGGGCATCCGTCTGGTTGGGTCCTATTTATATATGTATTATATACAACATTTATATGTATATGTTTATTTTTTCTACAATATTTATTTTATACATGCAATATGTATCTATATTTTTATTTTTATTTATAAACCCAACCAGACGAGAAAACAAATGAATATCCTCCCCATAAATTATTTCCCACCAGAAACGAAGTGCAAAACAAAATCTTATGATATAAACAATATATATACAACCCTTACTTGTAACATTCGAAAACAAACGAAGTATATTCCAATACAAACAGCATTGGAAGTTGGCTGTAAAATAAAATTCATTTTTTTAGATTTTCACTCGGTGGCAAAAAGTTATGTTAGGAGTAATTTGTTCAAACTTTGAGGAAATAGAAAACTTTTCTTATGATCATGTGGACAAACTTTGTACTCGATTGTAAATCTGATTATTCTTTAAATGTTTAATTGATTGTTCCAGTGTAATAATTTACACTATTCCTACATTTAATACAAAAATTCTGTTTGTCAATAATCTTGTGCTTCGTCAGGAAATAAGGAGCTGTGTTTCATTTGTATGAAAAGTTAACAATAGTGATACTTTATATTGGCTGCGGGGGGTAGGGGAGTCACGACTGAAATCTTACGATGCCACAGGAATCTTTTTGCACACATCCGTAATTCCATCAGCGCTGGTCATCTAAGAAGTGAGTTTCTAGAAAGTGGTTGTGGGTAAAACCCTTTTAAACGCTTTTTAACTTTAGGTGCGCCGAAATATGAAACGAGATTTTGTACTCACACACTATTGAATAGAGCGATCTAAAACATAGCGGGTCCTTAAACTAGTCCGACCAGAAAAGCATTCAGACACATTTATTCCTCGTCCTCAGTACTAGTAGGGACTGTAAAACTGTTTAATAACATACATTTTATTATTATTATTATTATTATCATTTATTTCAAGTTACTAAGACTCATATACATCCACATTCAAAATTACATTTTATCATATAAAAAAAAAACATATGCATGTAAATAACGTTTATGAATGCCAAACTTTTTTTACACTTCCTTGTGACATAACCAATATCTAAAACAGATTTGGATTGCGATGGTTTCATATTCACCTTAGTAACATACTACTAATTGAAACACAACTTTATAATTTTCATAACAGAAAAAGGATCACACTCTAAATAAAATTTTATAGTATTGTTATTTCGCGAAATGTCATACTGCATAACACAAACAGACGCAAAGTCTTACTTTGTTTTACGACACTGAATCTCTGTGTGTAAATAATAGCTGTTCCAAAGCGCTTCAGAAAGAGCGAAGGCTGCCCCCAATGTGCGTGGCTAGCTAAAATTACTTACGGTGGTAGGGCCACGCAGCAGCCTCGGCTGTTGCACTAATGGGCAGGATCGTCCGGGTAAGTACCACGACCTCACAGAAGACCGGCATAAAGTGGAAATATAATACTTTCGCGTTTCATCTGGTGAGTGAGGTAGCCGGAGCCCAGTTTTCAAAAAGGTTGTGAACGCATCTGCATACCCTCGGCTGTAGCAGATGTTCATGGGCGGCGGTATTCACTTAACATCAGGTGAACCGTCTGCTCGTTTGGCAACTTTTCACATAAAAAAAATATTACTCGTGAAACACAGAGACCTGATTTCCTACGGGCTTAAAACTTATGTTCAACCACAGACTTCGTTAGTTAATCAGATTCGTAAACTCTCATACCGTTAGGCCAACCGAGAATGTTAATTATTTCTACATAGACACTATACTTCTACATACACATCTATTACTACATAGACATATATATTATACATAGGTGTCATATTAGTAAGGTTGAAGTACATCGATGTAACTATTCACGAGAACTGCTGCCGACAAACTGCATCACAGTTTGGCAGAGAATAGTTTATTTTATTGTACTTTATTACTGGATTAAATAAATTAAAAAAAAATTATTCAATGAAAGTTTCAGTGACGAAACTGCGATGGATGACAGTCACGGGTATATAATTTATTATTCATTTTCTTATAAACTAGTGACCATATTTATGCTTACTCGTTGGATCAACGGCATCGTTTATAAGCTGTTACATTTTAATTAAGTACTCACCCTATTGTTCCCTCCGGGACTACGCTTCGACACTTTGACGTCAATATCACGCTAGTAAAAGGGTATAAATATTATAAATAATGGGTATTCCGTGTGAATACGTCTAATCAAGTTATCTAAATAACCAATCAAAAAGTCTAAATAATAAAAAATTTATATGAAAAAACAAATATCGGTGGGCTTACATCATTTTGTAATAAATAAATTACGAATATAATGAAATTCATAATTTTTAGAGTTCATTATTATTTTCAACTTGATTTTTGGTCACAAATGAATATGTCACAGAAAACAGATACATCACCAATGAATTCGGTACGTTGTGTAAGAATGTAACAAACCAATTGCAGGCTAAAATATCCTTAACATTATTTTTTAAAATTAATATAAATATCACAAACGTACCTGGGGTTTCGCCGAAACACCAATGAGCAGGATTAACAAAAAACCCAGCGTAGGCGACATTACTTCTGAGTCGATCTCTTTTTAATTTCGTAAGGCCCAAATGCATGTATGCTCCAGGGAAGGAACCATAAAGAGAGAACTGAAACGAATACAACAGAAAATAAAAAAAATTCAATTTGCATCTGGCTAATTTAAACACCATTCATGGTTCGATGTCCAATTTACGTGATTAAAATTGCATACAAAAACATTGCAATTCTATTTAGGTATACCGAAAAATTACGTCGTTAATTAATAACCAAATATTAATTCAAGAATGATCAAAATAATAACAGTACCTCCTTAATTGGCACCATAAAGTTAGTGAATTTTTTTTCCTCACAATTTTACACACCATTTTAAGACTAGATTATTACTATTCGCTTTTAATTTATTTGTACTCGATTATATTCATATCATAATAGCGACCTGCAAATAGCGAATATAGGCGACGCGTTAGAATGTTATTTTATATAATTTGCATATAATATGTTTAATAAATTAAATTTTAAGTCAATCTAGTTTATATTCTTATATTTTTTGTTTATTATTTTTTGTTTAATCGTGAATTTATGTTTAAGAATCTAGACTAGCAGAATACGGTAGAATTAATACCAGCCGCTATTGGAAAAGGGTTAAGAAGTGAAATTAAGTCGGACTTTGTAAATATTGAAATGTACAATGCCGTACAGACGAAAAAGGCCGTTACGGCACTAGCTTCACTTCAGGGTTCTTCACTGATGTCCACGTAATCCTCATTTCAAGCACGAAAAAATACTTTAGCTAGAGGCAGCAGAAGGAAAAGCTTGTATTGGAATGGAACTTACAGATAAAAGTTTAGCTGCGAATATAGCGGATTTAGAGGGAAAATACTGTCCACCGTCAGAGAATGTAAGCACAGAGAAGGCTCAGAAATGGCTAGGATGAAGTCAACACGAGCTATCTATTCTTTTTGTTTAAATTTGTTCTTGTTTATTATTTATTAGTTTTTCTTGTTAAATTATTATTATTATTATTAGTACTGTCATCGTCGTCATCTATCGACCTCACCAGGCTCCACTGAAAACCAGTCCGGTTTTGATGTGACAGTTAAAAGGTAAGTTGTAGGCAGCAAGTGCTATAAGGGACCTACCTTATCGGCCAATAGGTATAAGGCGATCTTCCTTAGCGTAACTACACCTTAAAGCCTCACCCGCATTTTTGGTGACCCTATGGATTGGCTACGGTTTAGGTAAGCACAACGAAGAGCTAACTGAAGTATGTCATTTTAGTGTAAAGGAGAACCTGTGGCCGTTAAAGAGGTGCTTACTTGGAGCTGCCAAAGAAACTGTGGCGGTGCTTCTCATTAGTGCAGCATCGCCTGACACAAATATGTCTACACAGTTCCAACTGCAATTTGGTAACCCGGACGTGATATTACACTGATTTGATTATATCGGCCACGTCGAAGGGCTTAGAACTCGTACCACCGATCATGCGGGGAGCTCTGTTCGCGATTTCGCATTAGTCAAATCATATTAACACAACTGGTCATCGCATCAACGCGAGCCCCAGATGTGAAGGATCATACACCTTCCCTGTTGGACCTTCTGTTGATGTCTTATCCGCACGGATTGGCTTCCGTCGATGCTCCTCTTGGTTCTTGGTACCACTGTCTTGTCCTCGTTTTGCGAGGCCGTATTAACACGTGTGGTACTATAGGTCAGCGAATTGGAAAAAGATACAGTCATTCTTTGCGTCCTACCCATGTGAGGAGAATTGCTTTCGCCGGATGATCCAGACGTTGCTGACTATTATTGTCTATTACATATAATTAAGGAAAATGGCAAAAATGATGACAAATAGGCGGATTGTTTAATTATATATTATACCTTTTATAGGCGGGTTATACTAATAAATCTTTTAAAACTACTAGACATTCGCAACACTGTCCCTTTGAGGCAGAAACATGTCTTAGATAAATATATTAATATTTCAATTCACGAATTTAACTTTTGCCACATGTCCGTCCGGGTACTTACCACGAGCTCACAAAAAACCGATGTGAAGTGAAATTGTTATACTTTTGCGTTTCGTCTGATGAGTGCGGTGGCCGGGGCCCACTCTATTAAAAGGTTGGAAGCATTTGCATTTGCCTTGACCGCTCCGACCGACATATCGGTCATTTTGTCTTTCGATCATCCGCTTCAAATTATATATCAGTCCAATTGACGCGGTCATTTTAAACCGTAATGTGTCTGTGAATAACTGCAAAATCTTCAAGAGTTTCAATAAATGGTTCTTTTAAATAACCTGTGTTTTAGCGTCGCTCGATTGTACTGCCACCGGTGTCATCATCATCATCATTTCAAACTGAAAGTGTCCGCTGCTGAACATAGGCCTCCACTAGGAATTTCCATGAGCGTACGTAGAAAGTTTCCTATCCCAAAATGAATGTATATATATTTGTGACGTTTGATTTAATTACATTTAGATAGATTAGAGAATTTTTTGAATTTTTGAGGATAAATTTACATATATATTTTAGATACATCGACAAGTTATCAAATATTAACTATGAAAGAAATCATAAAAATTATCTGAAGAAGTAAACGGTAGTAAAATCATGTGGGGGATTAATAACATGCGACTTCGTCATTGAAAATCTTTATTAAATATCATATTAAAGTTTTCTGATGAATTACTTTCCAAAGAATTCTGGTCTGTAAAACAATGTTTAGATTAATATATATCACACGTGAATATTATACATGGAGTGCAAGTTCGTTCGCGATGGCGATCTACTATGGACGCCCTCTGCCCCAGCTAGGGGACATAGGATTTTAAGAAAGCAAGTAGAAAAAAGACGTTAAGAAATGAAAACAGTAAATGAGATATATTAACAATAAAATTAGAAAAATATGGCACAACAATCCGCTCAGAATGGATATGAATCGTAGACGAAAAACTGAAAACGATTTTTTCAGTTTACTCGTTGATGTCTTTTTATAGTCACCGTCTCTAGATGTCTAAATAGCTGCCTCTCACGAGGCCACATTATGATAAAAAAAGATTCTAACTCTTCAAGTAATATAGTAGTTTTAAGAAAAAATAGAATCTCTTTCACAATCGGTCTCTCTAGATGTTTTGTATCTAGAGTAGATCTCGACGTTTGCATCTAGAGATGACCGATCTAACACTTTTATTTATTGTTATTTTGAAATAAAAAATTGTTTATTTTAAATGAAAAATTGTTACTTTCAAATAGAAATTTTTTAAAATGACATGAAAAACCTATGTATAATATTCACAACGTCTATCAAATGTATTCAGTATAATTGACCACTTGATGAATCGCTGATCAAATTAAATTTAAAAACTCTGCTCTATACCCTAGACATCAGGAGAGAAGTCATACGAAATAGTTTTTTTTAATATATGACTAGAACGCATAAATGTTAATTAATGATGGCAGTTGCTGCCTAACAGCCTATTTTTAAATCCTTCATTGATCAAGAGTCCAAATTTTCGTATTCTTTTAACTGCCCTTGTTTTTACTTGGGGTTGGCGTAGCACCTGCTATCCTTTTTATTCGTCTCTATCTTTCACTCTCTTACTAGCCTTATCGTCTTTCAAACGGTTTATCTTTCCGCTTCATTTATTTTTTATTATATATCTTAATAAATTAAATACTTACTTCACTTGGTAAAATGCCTTAAACAATCGTTTGAAAATTATTTTAATTATACATTTCAAAATTGATGATTTTCACATTTATTTCTAGTTTGTCATTAAAGCTTATCCATAGCGCGATATACTTTAATTAAGGTTTGGTCAAACAACGGATGGGGCGGGACGGCGACGCGACCCTGGAGCGATTTAAGCAGTTCTAATGTACTAATTTATATAGATGACGTCACACCATACCATCTAGCTGTTTGAAAAATTTTGAAAAAAATCTTTGAAAATAAAATTAGGTCACAAGTACGTACCAAATTCATATTTAGAATCAAATTCTGCATATGCTTTGTTAATATGTCCGTCGTCTATAAAATCAGCCTTTATAATAGCAAACACCGTTTCCACATCTGATTCACTTGAAATATCACGCTCAGTACGGTGAGGACGGCGGGCGGGACGCCGACGTTACGCCGCCAGTGTGACGTCCACATCACGACGCGTCACGTCAACGTCGCGTCGCCGTCCCACCCCGTCCACTGTCTGACCAAGCCTTTTGGGAATCGTCGTTTGTATTTTTTTTAGTATGCAAAGCGCATTCCAAAATATAACAATTGACGTTTATGATGCTTGCACCAGACCTCGTAACGAGGGTTTTTGCGTTAACTGTTGCTGAATTGTTGGTATCTATCTCAATTATTAATATTTTCAAAGGTGTATTTTGAAAACCTTACCTACATATAGGACCAAATATATATAGATATAATATATAGATATAATATATAGATATAATATATAGATATAAGGTATAGATCAAACCTAGATATAGGAAGCGTGATTAAAATGAATTTGATTATAAATAACAGGCATACATGTCATGTACATTATGCTACTTCTGAGTATTTAAAGCGGCATTGTTAGATACTTACTTCATTGTTGTTATACTGTAAATTAAAATTATTTTATACGTTTATTTTACAGGAAAAATGGTGAAAAAAGTTTACTAATAAATAAAGGTTCCTGAAGAGAAAGAAGATAACCTCCCCGATTTATTTTCGTGTGTGATAGTTGATGTATCTTTTAATGTACATTTTATGTTTTTGACTACGATACAATCAATAACACGTC